TGTGCTGAAATCCACATGAAATTGACCATGTTAACCATCTTTAAGTGCTGAAATTCAGTGGCATGAAGCACATTCGCGTTGTAGGTAGCTATCACCCCACCCACCCCCAGAGCTTTTCCATCTTCCCAAACTGAGACTCTGCCCCCACTTCAACAAGAGCTCCTCATCCACTCCCTTCACCTGAGAAGGTCCCAAGGTTCATCCATCCCCAGCCCTTGGCCACCACTGTTTACTTTCCGTCTCTATGGATTCATCTAATCTAGGGAACTTCCTCAAAGTGCAGTCATGCAATATTTGTCCTTTTGTAAAAAGGCCTATTTAAAAATGTGATGTGCCCAGTAATGCCTGCTCCTGGGAAGAAGACAATTAGGGGCGCCTGGGTGGCCCAGTCGGTTGGGCGTCCGGCTTCGGCTCAGGGCATGATCTCACGGTTCGTGGGTTCGAGCCCCGCGTCGGGCTCTGTGCTGACAGCTCAGAGCCTGTTTCAGATCCTGTGTTTCCCTCTCTCTCTGCCCCTCCCGTGCTCATGCTCTGTCTCTCTCTGTCTCAAAAATAAATAAATATTAAAAAAAAAAGACAATTAAATGCAGAATCACAAAAAGACAATAAAAATCACCCTCCTCTTCCTACCTAGAGAGAAGCGCTGTTAACCAGTCCGTGGAGTGTGGCTCCCAGACTTTTCGTCTCTGTGCATAGACGCATCTACATCTTATTTTACAAGAACGGCATCATACTGTAAATCCTGTTTGGTACTTGTGCTTTTCCACTTAAAAAACCCCAGAGCGCGCCTCCGGTGGCTATAAATATACACCTGCCTCATCGCTGGCGGGGCCCCAGCGCGCCATTGTCTAGACTTGGCCACGATACGTCCCTTCCGTCTCCTACTCAAGGGCATTGTGTTGGTGCGGCCTTCAGGGTTACGAAGACGGCGAATCACAGTGCGCGTCCCTAATGACTTCCCAGGGAGATCCCCCGCCGATGGAAGAGCGGGGTCAAGGGAGGCATGTTGTAAAGGCTTCTAAGTCTGAGGCCAGACGCCCTTCGGAAAGTTTAGACGGATTGACGCTGCCCCGCAGCACTGCGGGGTTGTCCCCCAGCTCCTGGCGGACTTGGAATGGGGAGATAAGAGACAGGGAGGGCCCCCGGGCCAGGGGAGCTGGGACCCCTCCTCCCTGCCCCAGGGGGGGAGAGGCACGGCCCACAAACCCGTCCCCTGGCCAGCCAACAAGGAGCCCCCCTCCAGGCCTGGCTTTGCTCGCTGCTGAGTCCACAGCCTCCCCGTTCCTGCCTCCTGCCCAGCTGACTCCCCAGTGCTGGAAAGCAGCTGAAGCGCCACGGGGCCCGTGAGAGGTCACCTCAGCCATTCCTCTGCCTCCGGGCAGATGCGCGTGTGCGCACACACGCATGCACGCACACAAGCGGCCAGCCACGGGCAGGCAGGAGGCCTCAGGAGCAGCGAATTCCAAGTCGGCCGTGATAGCGGCTCTTTTCTGAGAAAGCTCTGGCCGCTGCCTCGGCCCCTGTGACCCGCTGGTGGCGCGGGGGAGCGCAGGGGGCACCGAGCCAGGCTCTCATGCTGCTCTGAGGCGGCAGCAGGACCTGGGGCGCGGCTGCGCTGCCTGCCCGGGGGTCTGGACATCTCAGAGCCCGGCTTGCTGAGAGGGGCCTGGAGTGGAGCCGGCTACAGCCAGGACAGTGAGTGAGGCCGAACCCGGCGTCCCAGGCGCCGTTTACGAAGCGCTTCCTGCGAGCAGCGCCCTGAGTGGCCTCCGGGGTTTTGTCAGCGAGGGGAGGGAGGCTCCGGACGTGCCAAGGTCGAACTTGGCAAGCAGCTGACCTTGAAGCTGGCCTCCGCTTCTGGAGCCCAGGTGCGTGCGCAGCCCCTGCCCTGCTTGCCTGCAGGGGTGGAGGCTGGGGAGGCCAGGTGGCCTGCCCTGCTCGCACCGCGGGCTCCGGTCACTGTCCTGCCCCTCGCCCCCAAGCGCCCTGCCAGCCGACCTTCCCCGAGGGCCCCCCTTGCCTCCGCTCCAAGTCCAAGAGGAATGTAGGTCAGGGAACTTGACAGCGCCGTGCGACTGGAATTCACGGAGCCCTGAGTGATGGCGCCATTTGCTTCTATTTCTGGGCTCTAGATTATGCGCTGACAGTGTCAGAGTCACGGTCACAAGGAGGGCTGGCTGGGGTGCTGGGGGAGGGGAGAGCGGCCCTTCCGGACAGCAGGAGGGGTGGGGAGGTGCTGGGAGGCCCCGGGAAGGCGTCGGCTCTGCCGGAGAGCCGTCTGTCTCTCCATCCGCTAAGCCTCAACACCGAACGGCTGCGGCGTGGGGAGTGGGAGACCCCCGGCCCTTTGCACCTGTAAAGGAACTCTGTCTAACCAGTGCTTACTGCCCACATGCCACCTCGGCCCGCGGCACTCTGCCAGCCTGTTTCATCAGCCCCAGACCCGGCCGTGCCTGACCTACCCAAGAACCAGTCATACCCGAGAACTAGAGGTCAAGGGAATGAATGAACAAGGCATAGGATGGGTCGGGCTGGCGGGACAGCCAGCGGCAAAGGGGTAGAGTCTCCACCTCGTTATGGCTTCCAGAGACAGAACCAGCTGGAAATAGCAGATTCCCAAAGGCCCAAGGTGCAGGGCTTTTGAATCATGGGACACAGGAGCGCCTGGGTGGCTCAGTCGCTTACACATCCAACTCTTGGTTTTAGCTCGGGTCATGAGCTCACGGTTCATGGGTTCGAGCCCCGCACCAGGCTCTGTGCTGACAGTACAGAGCCTGCTTGGGATTCCCTGCCTCCCTCTCTCTCTGCCCCTCCCCTGCTCGCTCGCTCTCAAAAATAAACACTGAAATCACGGGACACAGGTAGCCTCTGAGGCCTCTGTGGGGGGAGGGGAGGGTCCCTGAACCGAGCTCCCGAGTGTGACCACAGGGCCGCCTCTGTCTTCTGTTACGCATACTGAATCTTTTATCTGCTTTAAAGGGGGAAAAAATGCTTTGCCCCTAAAAAAGGGGTGTGGGTCTAGCTCAGCCCTTGGCCTGTGGGTCCTGAGCACCCATCAGGAGAGCTGGGCATGTGGGGGGATTCGGGCACAGGCCCTGCCTACCTTCAGCCACCGAATCCGAGTGGGGCCCTGAGCCGGGGGCACCCACCCGACAGCCCTGAGATGCCGCCCCCGCCCCCTCCCTCCCGCCTGCCTCTGTGCACACCCACACCAGGGTTCACACTCTTCTGGGAAGGCGGATTTTACACCAGCAACAGCTTGCCAAGTGGATGGGCCTTGGGTTTTCGCTGAGAAACTTGGTCACCAGTTAGCCAGTCGACTGTGCCTTCCAGTGGCTGGTGTCATGCTTGGCTCTTCTCAGGGCCCGATCCTTGTCCACATTAACCCCCTGCCCCCAAGACCCCAGCCGGCAGCCCACCCGACACCCAGACTGCACAAAGCGCAGGGAAGGCTGGACCCTGGGCGCGTTGATTTCCCGTCAGGAGGTGGGGGTCTCGGAACGGGGCCAGGTAATCTCGACCCTGGGGGAACCTCAGAGGAGGAAACCCTCTCACTGATGCACCTGCTGGATGCCGGCCGCCCGCCAGGATCAGGCTGCCTGGGACTGAAGAACGAGGGAGAATAAGTCAGCAGGGGGCAGGGGAACGGCGGAACCCTCCAGAACAGACGAGCCACAGGTATGAATACTCCAGCCTCTAAGGCTTTGTCTTGTCCTCCGTAAAATGGGGACGATAGAGCCTGGCTGCTGCGACAAATGGTGTGATGGTCCTTCTGAAAGTTACCACCTCGAGTTACCATATGGTGCCGTGACTCCTTCCGTAAGCAGGTGCTCGGCAAATACCTGTGCACAAGCATCCACAGTAGCCAGAAGGTGCAAGGAACCCAGGCGTCCCCGACAGGTGAACAGATACACAAACAGTGGGGGGGGGGGAGGGGTTTCCCGACAGTGGAATATCATTCAGCCTCGGGAATGAGGTTCGGATGCACACTGCGGGCACGGACCTCGAACACCTGATCCTGGGTGAAAGGAGCCTCACACAAGGGCCCACGTGCCTGATTCCCTGCTTAGGAAATGCCCACGGAGGCAAATCCACAGGGACAAAAGGCAGATTAGTGGCGGCCAGGGTTGGGGGGACCAGGAGAGGGACAGGTTGCGTAACGGGTAGCGGACTTCCTTGTGGGGGCGATAAACGTGTTGGCACCGGGAGGAGGCGGTGGTTGTCCAGTCCTACAGATGTTTGTTGTTGTTGTTGTTGTTTAAGTTTATTTTGAGAGCGAGAGAGAAGCATGGGCGAGGGAGGGGCAGAGAGAGAGACAGGAGAGAGAAGCCCAAGCAGACTCTGAGCTGTCAGCACAGAGCCCGACGCGGGTCTCGAACCCACGAACCGTGAGATCATGACCTGAGCCGAAGTCAGACGCCTAACCGACTGAGCCCCCCAGGGGCCCCAACCCTGTGCATGTATTAAATGCCACTGAATGTACACTTGGGTGACATGAATTTCACCTTCGCTTCTGAAATACAAGGACAGTCCTGTGCTGCTCCCAGCACTGCAGGGACGCCAGTGAGGTCCTTCTGGAAGAATCACCAGCCAGCGTGGTGGGTCAGGGCCGAGGCCCTCCGCAGGGGCCCGTGACGCCCCTGATGACCCACTCTGTCACGCTGGCACCTTCACTGAGCACCATGAACAAATTGGGTCCGGACCGTCCCCGAGCAGGTGTGGCATCCGGGAAGAGAGACGAGTAATGCTGAGAAGGTGTGCGGTGTGCCGGGACTTTGGTAAACAGGCGGCCAGGAAGGCTGCTCTGCTGAGGGGAGGGAGGGCACGAGCCGGGTGGGCATTCCAGGAAAGGGCGTTCAGGTACAGCACAAGCAAAGGCCCTGAGGTAGAAACGTGCCCAGGGAACAGCGTGGCTGGAATGAAGAAAGCAGGGCGGGGCGGGGGTGCTGAGGGTGAGGGGACGCTGACAGTCCCCCGGGGCCTCTCCCTCTCGCCCGCAGCCCTGCTCCTGGACATCATGACGGTGGCCGGCGTGCAGAAACTCATCAAGCGTCGTGGCCCGTTCGAGACGAACCCCAGCCTCCTGGACTACCTCACCATGGACGTGTACGCCTTCCCCGCCGGGCACGCCAGCCGCGCGGCCATGGTGTCCAAGTTCTTCCTCAGCCACCTGGTGCTGGCCGTGCCCCTGCGCATCCTGCTGGTGCTCTGGGCCCTCTGCGTGGGGCTGTCGCGGGTGATGATCGGGCGCCACCACATCACGGACGTCATCTCGGGCTTCATCATGGGCTACTTCCAGTTCCGCCTGGTGGAGCTGGTCTGGATGTCTTCTAACACCTGTCAGATGCTGATCTCCGCCTGGTGAGCCCCGGGACTCGAGAGAGGGGCAGGCGCCGCGGCCACCCCGCCACCGCGTCTCCCCCCGTCACGGCTGGAGGCTGGCGACCTCGGCCAGGCTGCCCGGAGGCTGGGTGTGGCCGGCGGGGGCAGGTGCCCTCGGCTCCTTGGCCTGGACTGTGCGGGTCCTCTCTGGGCGGGCGGGGGGTCCCCGGGGGACGGCTGTGCTTTGCTTGCGCCACACGAGGACTCAAGGTGACAGGCGCGGGGCCGAGTCATGTCCTGCCCCTTCGTCATCCTCACGACTGCTGAGTGCTTGGCTGTGCCCACTGTGCCACGGCACGATGCCTGGCAAAACGCCCCCCCCCCACTCCCACCGCCCAGCACAGGCGCCACTGCCGTCGACCGTCATCGATAGCTTAGGGCGGCACTTTCCAGAGGGCACCCTGCCGGACGCCAGCCTGCAAGATGCTTTGGGAAGGAAAAGGGTTTTGTGGTCAAATACACTTGGGGAATGCTGCGTACTCTTGCCCCCATGCCGGACATTCACAAGGGCCGTTGTCGTCTTAAAGGCTCTGACAAGTCCTGTAGAAATGCTTCCTGTCAAACACGGTTCAGCTCCGTGTTTCCTCAACTTATTTGGCCACAGACCCCTTTTCTCGAGGAACAGCTACTCACCCCCAAAGAACCGCCGTCTCCTCAAGCACATTTTGGGAGAGGCCGCCCGGGAGCCGGAGGGTGTGGGCAGAGCCCACGGCCACGGGCTTCGGTGCCGCTTTGGCCCGCGGGGGCCGGACTCCATGTGGCCTGATAGGTCGTTTCCAAGTGCCCATCATGGATGTGTGTTTCATGTGACAATACAGGCAATCTGCAGGGGACCCTCTCTGTGCTCTCTCCTCGTGTGATGCAAGTTTCCAGGCTGGGGGGAGGGGTCTCTGTTGACGTAAAAGGGTGGGATTTCTTCAGCCCCAGATGGGCCACGGTGTCAGGTGGTCAGAGGTGAATGGGCTTCTAGATTTTTCCAGGCTGGTTGGTCGTTCTCCCTGAAGTCACGATGCAGGGGCTCGAACTCACAAACTGTGAGATCACGACCTGAGCTGAGATCAAGAGTCAAACCCTTAATCAACTGAGCCACCCAGGCGCCCCCATTTTAACCTACATCTTAATCACATCTGCAAAGACTGGATTTCTGAATAAGGTCACATTCATAAGCAAGAGAGTTACGACTTCAGCATATCCTTTATGGGGCCCCCCTTCGATCCTTTGGGCGAGGAAGCCACCTTCCTCTCTCAGCCAGGCCATGGGGACAGGACAGCACGTTCCCGTCTGCAGAGGGGCCCATGGCGACTGGGACTCTGGACCCAGAACGCTCCACAGGCACAGCCCTCAGGCCTGACTACCCTCCCCTCCCTCTGCGGGGGACCCACATCTGCCCCCCACCCCCCTCCCGGGACATTGCCCCAGCAGACGGGGCCCTCCCGAGGCCCCGGCTTCTCTCTTGAGCCTCCGGTGTTGCCTCCCCGGCTGGGGGTGTGGGACATCTGCACCTTGTCTTCCCCCGCCCCCCAGGGGCTCTGGGGCAGCCAACCGGCCGGGCCACCACGATTAAAACCCCCGACTTGCAACCCTGAACACTGGCTGCTTCTGGAGTCTTTAAAACACATTCTGCACATTTCCACAGACGCTCCCAGGCGGCGTGTTTGTGACACGCTGAGCGGAAAGGGTGAGGCCGTCTTCCCTCTCACCTTGCCCCCTACCCTGGGGGTCTGTCATCCGGTGGGTCCTGCTCCAGCTGCGGGCTGGGGCCCACATCCCCAGCAGGGACGCAGGGCCCCAGGGGCTCCGCCTCTGCGGGGGGTGGGGTGGCGGTCTCCGGGTCTACGGTATGAGGAGGGGCTGCTGAAGAATGGAGGGCCCTGGCAGCGCCCCTAATGCCTGGGGCAGGGGCTGGTGGCATCCCGAGTGCCTAACAAATGGTTAAGAGGAAAGGCGTCCTGGGAAGCCCTGTCTGGGAGGCACATCGTGCGGGGTGCCAGTTACACTGGGCGCTAGAGACCCGGGCTCAGGCCAGCGCCCACCGTTCCCGGCAGCGGTGACATCCTCTCTCCGAGCCCTGGGGTCCTGATCTGTGAGGGCACGTGTGACCCAGGGGCGCCCGCCACGTGGGGGCCTGGCGTAAGGTCTGCACTCAGGGCCGTCACTGTGGCATCCTGCACGGAGCCCATAAGAGCAGGGAGATGGGAGCTTGGAGTAGGCTGCGATTCCTCGGGGACGCGCCACCTCCCCCTGCTCCTGGAGAGCGCCTGGCGGTGGGGGGGGGGGGCGAGCAGAGCCCCGGGGGCAGCCTCCAGAGCCCAGCGACTATGGGTGCGGTGTTCCGCGGGAATAGCGAATGCACGCCTGTGACCAAAGCCAATAACTGCTCTCTCTTTTTTTAAATGGTGAATTTTAAGAAGTGAGTTTCGAACAGTAAACCAAACCTGCGTGCCCCGAGAAACCCCAGGGGTCAAGACGCAGCGACCTTTTCGGGATCTTGCTGGATTGGACTGGATAGAGATTCTGCTAGGGATTGTTGCCTCTGTATCCATGAGGGACGTTTGTGCTGTTTCCTTGGTTTGTCTGTGTCCACTTGGGCCATCAGGGTAATGCTACCTCGTCTATTTTTCTGAGAGTCTGTGCAGAATTGACACGATTTCCTCTTTACCCCTCAGAGTTCAGGCCACTCCTTTATTCCTGACCTCTCAGGAACCACCCATCAGTGGAGGTGACATTCAATTCACAACTGACTTGGGGAGAGGAGGGGACGGGACGGGACTTAGACCTATTTTACAGGTGAGGAGACTGAGGCTCAGAGAGGGAAAGTCATTCCCCCAAAATCACTCAGCTAGGATGTGGCAGAGCCAGTGTTGGAGCCCAGGCCTGAGCAGCCTCACGGCAGAAGAACTCTCTGGAAGACAGAAGGGCAGGGCACCCACCAGCATCAGGGCAAAGTGGAGGGCAACAGGTGGGTTGGCTTTTTTTATTATTATTATTAATTGAAGTATAGTTGATGGACAATATTATATTTGCTTCCGGCGTACCACCTTTTTTTTTTTTTTTAATGTTTTATTTATTTCTAGGAGAGAGAGAGAGAGAGAGAGACAGCGTGAGCAGGGGAGGGTCAGAGAGAGAGGGAGTCACAGACTGAAACAGGCTCCAGGCTCTGAGCTGGCAGTCAGCACAGAGCCTGACTCGGGGTTCGAACCCACGAACCGCGAGATCATGACCTAAGGGAAAGTCGGACGCTTAACCAACTAAGCCACCCAGGCGCCCCACCACCTTTTTATTTAATTTTTTTTGAGAGAGCAAAAGCGCACGTGGGAGAGAGGGAGGAGAGGGGCAGAAAGAGAGAGAGAATCACAAGCAGGCTCCACGCCCAGCACGGAGCCCGGAGCCCGGCGTGGGGCTTGATCCCATGACTGTGAGATCATGACCAGAGCGGAAATCAAGAGTCAGACACTTAACCAACTGAGCTGCCCCAGGCACCCCAACCGCTTTAAAAAACAAACAAAGTCAAATCCCCTGCATCAGAGGGATGCCTACGTTGTCTGAAGTCCACCTCAGCCAGACTTCAGACTGGATGTCAGGTACGGCAGGATCAAGCCTCAGGAGCTGTCAACATGACCCCTTCTCTGGCCTTCCATGCCTTCGTCCCCCCCTCCCGTCAGCCGTACCCAGACCCCAGGGGCTTTCACATGCTCCTCTGGGGCCTGGAGCCTGTCCTGAATTTACTCAGTGCCGTCCCGCCTCCTGGTTTCTCTTTTCCCATCCCATCCGCCCAGCATCCCCTCTCAGCGCCGCCAGCGGCCATGGCAAATGCAGTCCCTACGCAGCGTATGAAAGAACGGGAATCCAGAGACTACCAGCAAGAACCATGACCATGGACACCTGTGAAGGGCCAGGCAGGAACGTGTGGCTTGTCCCTGATTCTGCTGTGACCAAGGGGTCGGAGGGGGTGTCGACACAAGAGCATATTGGGTGGGATTCAGAATGGAGCCTCTTTCAAGGAGAAGGTGGCCACCCCCAGAACTCGGGGGCTCCTGGTGCCTTAAGAAGAGGCAAGGCAGATGCCTGAGGACATGTCCCCTCAAGGTGGCCTGGCCCCAAAGGTGTAGCCAGAGCTTCACCCACACTGGGTTTCCTTGGTAAAGGTCACTTGATCGGAGGGCCCGGGGGGTGGGGGCCGAGCCGGAGTTGGGCTGGGCTGGGCCATGTTGAGGAAAGAGCACACACAAGGGAGTCACACAGATGTGGCTTCAAATTCTGGCCCTGACGAAGCACTGAGCCCCCTGAGCCTCGATTTTCCTCTCCATAAAATGGGGGTGAGGCTTGCCGTGCACGGGTGTGAGCATTAGAGCAGAGCCCCGTGGAGGCCTGCGGAGGGAAGAACGAGCTGCCTGGGCCACCGTGCCCCTGGAGAGGCCCACGCCTGTTCCCTGGGCACTCGGGACGGGACAGGGAATCCGGAGCGGGGACGTGTGCCCGTGTCCTGGCGGGACCAGCACGGGCTGGCCTCTGGCCTGGTTTGCCTGGACCCAGGTCACTGTGGTTCAGGTCCCAGGAGAGGGATGAGCCCCACTCCAACCCCAGAAAAGGGGAACAAAACAGCTGTTCCATCTGGTGAGGAGGACTTGGGGACGGGGGGTTGTGGGGACAGAGACACAGAGCTGGGTGCGAGGGGCGGGACAGGGCCTGCGGCTGGGACTCAGAGACCTTGCTGGCTCTGGGGCTGTGCCCTCGTCTGTGAAACGTGCTGCTGCGCCTGCTCTGCCCTGGGGAAGGGGCTGCACCTTCAAGTCCAAGTTCACGGGTGAGAGGGGCCGCTGGGAGCCAGCCTCTTGGGGACACGCACTGGGGGGCGGAGCCTTGGGGAAGGCCAGAGTACTGGTCTCATCACAGTCACAACGAGGAGCTCGGGCGCCCCAGATGCTGCCAGCCCTCCATGGAAAGAGGTGGCCCTGGGACATGTCCGTCCTGGTGATGCTTCCGTGCGCTCACGCCAGCCCAGAGACGCACACACAGGTGCCAACCTGGGCCACAGCTCACGCCTGCGCGTCCACAGTGCCCCCACTCTCGCCCGACTCGTGAGCCAGAGGGAGACAGGAAAGGCCACTCCTACGGTCGATGTTACATTCAAACTCAGGTTACCCTTGTGTCTTCTTTACTATGAGAAGGAAATATATTCGTGCTGGAGAGAGGGGGAGGGGTGTGGAAAAACAGGTATAAAGAAAATAGCCTTTCAGTTCATCTTGGTGTCATGTTGCCTTGAGATCACCCTTAACGATCCCATTCCCGGTGCCGGCCGCCTAAATTCTCACACGCACACGCACACACACACACACACACATTTCTTTTTTTTTTTCTTAAATAGTTTATTGTCAAGTTGGTTTCCATCTAACACCCAGTGCTCATCCCCACAAGTGCCCTCCTCCATGCCCATCACCCCCCTCCCCTCCCCCACCCCATCAGCCCTCCGTTTGTTCTCAGCATTCAAGAGACTCTCATGGTTTGCCTCCCTCCCTCTCCCCCACTATTTTCCCCTTCCCCTCCCCCATGGTCCTCCGTTAAGTTCCTCCTAAGCCACCTATAGTGCAAACATGACATACACACATTTTAAATCAAGCAGAATGACACATATTGTTTTTATAATCTGCTCTTTCATTTCGTCGGATGTCACGGACCCATGTCTGCGTCAGGTGCATCTCTGGATGCTCTCACAGGGTCCGCACAGCCGGCAGCTGCACACATGCTGTACGCTCTCTTTTCATTAATTTCTTTCGTTTTAATTCCAGTATAGTTAACGTGTATCAATTTTCTTTCCTTTTTAATGTTTATTTATCACTGAGAGACAGAACACAAGCAGGGGAGGGGCACAGAGTCTGCAGCAGGCTCCAGGCTCCAAGCCGTCAGCACAGAGCCCACAGGGATCAAACCCACGAACAGCGAGATCATGACCTGAACTGAAGTCAGACATTTAACCGACTGAGCCACTCAGTGCCCCCCCTCCCCCCACTGTGCATCTATTTCTTAACCAGGCCTCTCTGAGAAGATACTGATTTATTAGGC